TGGTGCTTCAGCTTGCCGCAGACGAGGCGGACGCCAACGCCGGCGGCCAGCGCCACGGCAGAGCTGCGGCCCGCGGCAATGNGGCGGTACTCCTCGCCCTTCTGCTTCCAAATTTGGTGCTTCAGCTTGCCGCAGACGAGGCGGACGCCAACGCCGGCGGCCAGCGCCACGGCAGAGCTGCGGCCCGCGGCAATGGCCGCCAGCTCATTCTCCGCCGTCATGTTCTCCTGGGCGAGGGCACTGCCCGCCGCCCCGCCGCCGCCGCCAAAGCGATCCTTCCGCTTCTTCGCCTCCTCTCGCTCGGAGAAGACGCTGCGCTGGATGCCGGCGCCAAAGCCGATCGCCTCGAACCAGTGGCCGTTAAGCAGGACCGGCTTCATCGCCGACTCGAGCGTCTGGAGGACGGCGGCAAAGTCCGCCGGCTCGGCGCACTGCGCCACGGCGCGCGTGAAGGCCGCCCGCCGATTGCCCTGGTGCCAGACCGGGTGGAGGAGCATGGCGGGCAGCTGCGACTCGAGGTAGAGCACCGCCTGCCGGAGGACGTTCACCACCGTGGAGCGGGTGCCGTAGACGGTGGTGGCGGGCAGGGCGGTGCTGATGTGGCTGTAGGTCGCCCACTTCAGCTCCGAGGTGGGCGTCAGGCTGAAGCGGTGGCTGAGGCCGCGCCGCTTCAGGCGCTCCTCCTCCAGCTGCTTCTTGCTCAGCGCGAACTTGTTCAGCGAGTAGATGTTCTGGTACTGGCGGTAGTTGCCCTCCAGGCCCAGCTTGAAGAGGCTTTCGGTGAGGAAGGTGGCCGGCAGCGTCTTTCGGGGCCTTCGCGTCAGGCTGACTTGCGTTTGGGAGTTGTTGTTGCTGCCATCTCCTNTGCCCTCCAGGCCCAGCTTGAAGAGGCTTTCGGTGAGGAAGGTGGCCGGCAGCGTCTTTCGGGGCCTTCGCGTCAGGCTGACTTGCGTTTGAGTTTGGGAGTTGTTGCCGTCGTCTCCGTCATTCGCCAAACTCACCGTCTCCTCCTTCAGGTAGATCACCGTCTCCTCGTCCGCCCGCACGGCACTAAAGTTGTTGTAGGAGTTGATGCGATTCTTAAAGCTGTCCATCGAGACGGTCTTCGGCTGAATGGTCCCAGTCTTCAGGCGGGTGAGCACTCCGCTGCCGTCGGCTGCAGTGTTGGAAATGGTTCGATCATCGCCCACCTCCTCGACGGCCAGCTTCGCCTCCAGCTCGGCCAGCTGCTCCTGCAGAGCCGCCTTCTCCTCCTCCTCCTCGGCTTCGCCCAGCCTCAGCTTCAGCTTGCCCTCCCGCCTGCTGAAGAGCTCCTCGTTCGCCACCTCGAGGTAGCTCTTTCGCCGGTAGAGCGCCCCCTTCGCCATCCGCGTCAGCCGCTCGGTGATCGTCATCTGCCGGTAGATTTCGCCCTTCAGCTCGGCGAGGGCGGCGCAGAGGTCGCTCTCGTAGTGCTCGGCGTCCAGCGAGGCGAGCAGCTCGTCAAACTGCAGCCGACTGGAGTAGTAGTAGGCCACCGCCGCCACCANGGCGGCGCAGAGGTCGCTCTCGTAGTGCTCGGCGTCCAGCGAGGCGAGCAGCTCGTCAAACTGCAGCCGACTGGAGTAGTAGGCCACCACCACCTCCTGGTCGGCGTCCTCCTTCTGGTCCTCGACGATCAGCCGTCGGCAGAGGAACCAGTACTTGCGCCCGTGGCGGTCCCAGCCGACCGGCTCCTGGCGCGAGCAGTAGCCCAGCCGTTCCAGCTCGCCGACGCAGTCGGTGACACCACCCACGGTGTTCAGCCTGCAGATCGGACAGGTCCACCCGTCCTCGGGCACCTGCCGGAGCGGCGGGTCGAGGCAGCCGAGGTGGAAGACCGCCGGACAGGTGTCACAGCACAGCAGGTCGCCGGTTCGGTGGCAGCCGCGGCAGTTGTCGTCGTGCTTGATGGTGCCCTCGTTGTTGAGCACCTCCCGGCAGCTGGCCGAGGTGAGAAACTCCTCGCAGAAGTACTCCAGCAGGGTCAGTTTCTGCTCCAGCGAGGCGAAAGGGTAGTTGACCGCCAGCGAGTCGTTGAAGAGCTTGGCGTTTTTCTTGTAGTCAGTTGACAGGTAGAGGCGGGTCACCTCGGGCCAGGTCATTGGATCGCAGAGGTAGAGGTAGATGTTGATGGCGTCTCGAACGTCCTGAGGGCCGTGCTGGGTGCCGGCCAGGTCGTCCTCGCGAATGAGCGCCTTCAGCAGTTGAATGTGAATCTCCGAGAGCAGATAGGTTTGCTCGTCGATGAGCA